TTGAAAGCAACGGCAAATGCTAGAGTAACAGAGTAACATGCATTAATGTGAGGCTAGTGACAGTCAAATCAAATGCCAGAACCATATGTTAGAGGTTCTGTAGGGCTTGTTAAGATACACTTGTAAATATAACTCCCCCCCCAAAAAAAATTCCCTGTGCGTGTGCGCATGCGTGTGGGTATTGCAACCCAGAAGTGCTATACAAAAACGTGACCCTGTTGACATGGTTACCTTCGCAAGAGGGTGCCATGGGAAAACAACACAGAAATGCGATGCATAGGATAGGATATCGGAGGGATAAATGGTTTGAATAAACTATATATCATAGCAACAATTAGTATAATATCCCATAAAGAGCATGTAATAAAGTGTGAAATCTGAATAATAGTCTTGTAAAAGTGCCAGTGAATGTATAGGGGCAACTACTATCCTTAATTGCCGTAATTAATAAAGTGCCAACGTGCAAAGAGTGAGATTTATGTGTGAAATGCTTAGTATAGAATTACTAAATTGTGAATTCATGCATTGCTATAAAATGCACACCTCTACCTTTTATAGCAATGCATGAATTCACAATTTAGTTACTCTTTGCACGTTGGCACTTTATTAATTACAGCAATTAAGGATAGTAGTTGCCCCTGTACATCATATATCGACAGAATAGGGACCTGCCATCCAGGTTAGTAGGCTGGTGCCTACTCTGCCTTACTGGATAAGTGCCGCTTTGGGGTGCCCTATTGGAGCTCTCTACTTTCAGGTGCCTGGGCACTGTGCATCCCCTGCATCTGCCCATGATCTGCCCAGTACTTATCTTTCAGATATTATAGATCACTGTGGAGGAAAGCTACGTGGAGGGTAAATTATTATTCTCAACACTTTGTAATCATATTCAATTTTCACAATGTATAGAAAAAAAAAATCTTGTTTTTATTTGTCAAGACAATTTCATTTTGGCAAGTTACTATGCACTGAGATTTCAGATGAATGTACCAGTGACATATAGCAGAACATAGGGCAAATGTTTATACAGGTAAATATGCCAAAAAAATGTTATATTAGCAAGTATTTGACAGTTATAAGACTGACTATATAAGCATTTTTTTACATTTCTTAACTAAACTCAATTATATTCAATAATCTCTTTCATTCTTGCTAAAAGCTATGTTCAATTATGGCTCCGCTATATTAGGAGATTAATATACTGATAGTTTGGACACTCATACTACAAATTTGTCTTCTGATTGTTCTAAAATTTTGTGACAGTTGAGCCAGAGGCTTGCAACAATTCAGAATTAGAAATGATAATTTGTTTTATCAAACATTTGTCTCCCTGTGCTATAAAGACCAGATAGTACTTAGGTGTATTTTTTTCAGATTGAGAACTCATTTTAACACATATAGAAAGGCCTGATCAAATGGTGGACACATTGAAGAAGTTTTGTCTAAATATTTTTTTAATTTGTGGCTCTGTTATATATTCCTTATTAAAAGTTGTGCACATTTGCCCTTACACATTAAATATAAGAATGGTAGCATTAGGATACAGTCTATACCACAATTATAAAAATAAGCCAAATTAAATATAGTGCTACATAGTTACACGGTTATATAGGTTGAAAAGAGACATGCATCCTTCAAGTTCAGTCTTTCTCATGTCTTTATTTGCTGTTGATACAAAATAAAGCATTACATCCAGTTTTAAGTGCTTTCTAATTTTGCAACAAGCCAGGAAAAAAAATCCTTACTGACCCCAGAATGGCAGTCAGATCTCTCTTTGAATCAAGAAACTGCTATCCCACATATTAAAAATTATATCCTTGAATATACCGTTTTTGCAAATATTCGTCCGCTTGCTGTTCAAACATCTGTACAGACTCTGATAAAATTACCTCTTCAGGCAGAGAATTACACATCCTTATTGTACTTAAAAATCCTTTATCCTGTTAAAAATCCTTTACTTTCCTTAACTAAATCTCCTTTATCCAGTCTAAATGTGTGACCTTGTGTCCTATGCATAGTCCTGTCTTTAAATAGATTTCCAGACCATGGTTTGCATTGGCCCCGAATATATTTGTACAATGCTATCATACGTAGCCGTTTTTCTAAACTGAACAGATTTAAACATGTTAACATTTCTTTATAACTAAAATTTTCAACTTTAAATAAATTTTGTATCCTGACTTTGCAGTTTTTCTAAGTCATTATTTCCTTTTTCAGAACAGGTGCCAGTAATTGCACAACATATTTAAGGTATGGTCTTACCATTGATTTATAAAGAGGCAAAATTATATATTTTCATTCTGAGAATGAATGCCCCTTTTTATACATGACAATACCTTACTGACCTTAGCAACAACTGATTGACATTGCACATTGTTGCCTAGTTTGTTGCCTATGACAATTTCCAAATCCTTCTCATGTGTTATCCCTAATTCACTAGTGTTTAGGATGTAAGTGGCTTATGTATTCTTTAACCCAAAGTGCATAACTGCATTTATCTGCTTTAAATTTAACTTGCCATTTTAGTGTCCAGTCCCCCAATCTATCTAAATCCCTCTACAACTAAATACAGTCCTGCTCACCTTGTTTTAATTTACCGAGTTTTGTGTCATCTGTAAACATAACAATGCTTATTTCAAGATCATTATTAACTATGTTGAATGTTGAATAGAAGTGGTAGAAGTGGTAGAAAAGAACCCTGAGGAATATTAATGACAACTTTCTGAACTCTACCTTTAAAAACTCTTCAAATACTTTCCCATCCACATAAGTTAAAGGGAAACTATATTGCCAGGAAAACAAAGTTGTTTTTCTGAAAGAGAAATAACTAGAATCTAGTGGGTCACATAAAAAAAATAATAATAAAGATACTTGATCAATATGGGTTGCTACACATAACAGAGAGAGACTAAATAAGAAGAATATCTAAATAGAAAAAAGTGTGAGCGCTCCAAGTAGTAAAAGTCAAGAACAGTGATCTTATTCACAACACTGATTTAATAATAAAATGCACAGACAAAAAAGACCAAATCTAAAAGGTTGTGTTAAACACTGTATAGGTACAAAGGACACAAAGTAAAAACAGAGATCACAATGCCATAAAAACAAATGTGATCTAGATGTTACAATAGTCTGAATGTGTCAAATAGAAAACACAAGTCAAATAAAAACAAAGTGCTCTCAACTGTATCCTTCACACATAGAAGGGTAATATCAACTAAATGGTAAAAAGACACAGTGTATAAGAAACCTTAAAAAACTGTGTAATAAATAGTTACACCCCCACTATCACAATGCAACATCAACCTGTATGTGAATGAAAATAGCCAGCAAAAAACCCACAATAGTACTTATCTGTGGGGGTTCCCTCCACAGGTCCAAATGGATGCTGTGGCCTGGATCAATGCAGTATAGGAAGATTCCAAGTGGTAAGATAGCCAAGGAGCTCGACCCTTACGGCTAATCTCTAGCAGGCACTGAAACCAGAGCAACCCTGGTACAGTGGACGGTCAGATGTCGAGTAAATATGCCAAAAAAATGCAAGATGCCGGAGCAGGGGAGCACACAGAGCTGGAATCACATTGTGAGCTGCTGCCGATAACTTAAAAAAATGCTACAGATACCTTAAAGGAGAAGCGTCAAAAGTCTGGAACAGCTAAAAAACAGGACCAGAAATGTCTATGCATTTTGTCTCCTCTAGAGACTTTTTCAAGACTTTCTAAAACAACCTGCTTTAAAGAAACATAATTTTTGTCTTATTTAGGATCTTTCGGGTGCATATTGCCTCTTCCAGTGCCCCTGGGAAGCTGCTGCATTGTACAAAGCTTGACAGTGCAGGAATTAGCACATTGGCTGAGAGCACTCAGCTGATGCTACTTGCTGGATCTTCCAGCTCCACAAGAGGAGGCAACAGGCACCCTGCTTACCCTGCTTTAAAAGTGTTAAATGGTACCTTTAACGGCTTCTGTGCGAAACTGGGACTGTTCACGGGAAAGGCTACCAAGCTTATGAAATTGCAGTTCACGTTTATCCCTTGCTTTTACATCCGCATCCGCAATGATCTTTAGTATTATCTCTTGATGTGGGTTTGGGCTGAACAGCGCCAATCTTTTCCGAATCTCCCTCATCTGTTCTGCATCTTCCATGAGAACTGAAAGGTTTGTCATGGACAAGTTCTCTCGATCCAACTGCAGTTCCATATTCACTGGTGTTTGTGAGAGTGCCTAGCCAAAATAAGTTCCAGGCACTCGATGACCAGGTACCGCTGCCTGCATTCATGAGACAAGATGGCCGATATCCATTCTGTTGACCACGTGCGTTCTGTACACGAAATGGCATCCACCCAGGGGAGCCTATTAGTAATAGTTTCCATTACACACTGGATACTTTGTATTCCACATTCTAATTAGATGTTGGGGTGGTCTTCGTTTGGTAACCGAACCAGGGGAATTTCAAATGAACAAATGAACAGGGAAAAACTATTACAACCGAACCAAGAGACACTATAGTCACCAGAACAACTACAGCTTAATGAATTTGTTCTGGTGAGTAGAATCATTACCTTCAGGCTTTTTGCTGTAAACATTGTCTTTTCAGAGAAAATGCAGTATTTACATTACAGCCTAGTGATAACTTCACTGGCCACTTCTTAGATGGCTGTTAGAGATCCTTACTGGGTCATGGCTGCCTAAAATGCATCCAAACATTCAGTGTCTCCTCCCTCTGCATGCAGACACTGAACTTTCCTCATAGAGATTCATTGATTCAATTAATCTCTATGAGGAGATGCTGTTTGGCCAGTGCTGTGTTTGAATCATGCTGGCTCTGCCCTTGATCTGCCTCTTTGTCAGTCTCAGCCAATCCTATGGAAATCATTGTGATTGGATTAGACTACCACTTCTGATGATATCAGCAGACTAGTGATGTCCCGAACTGTTCGCCGAACGGTTCGCGAACGGTTCGCCCCGGACTCATCATTGAGTAAACTTTGACCCTGTACCTCACAGTCAGCCAATCAGCAGCAGACCCTCCCTCCCAGACCCTCCCACCTCCTGGACAGCTCACTAAGAATGCAGCTTCACAATGAATGTAAAATGGATGCTGTCCAGGAGGTGGGAGGGTCTGGGAGTGAGGGTGTGCTGCTGATTTGCTGGAATGTGTCTGCTGACTGTGAGGTACAGGGTCAAAGTTTACTCAATGATGAGTCCGTGGCGAACCGTTCGCGAACCGTTCGGCGAACAGTTCGGGACATCACTACAGCAGACTGCTTGTTTTTTTTTTTTTTTTTTAGGCAAACAGCATGCAGAGTTACAGCTTCTGGCTTGAATACAGATTTTGATATATTTATGAAGACATGAGGGGCCCAGGGTGACTAGATGGTGGTTTTAACACTATAGGGTCAGGAATACATGTTTGTGTTTCTGACCCTATAGTGATCATTTAAGTAAAACTGACTCAGTCAAAATATTGAATTTTCACATTTAATATGTGTGTATATATATTTAGCAGCTTCAAAGTACTTATTTAAATAATAAAATGTATGTAAAGCATGTCGTATTTATTTCTCTGAGTAAAAAAAAAATACTTTATTTCTCTATCTCTTTCTCTCTGCTTTCCATTTTTTAGATGTCAGCTCTTTTTTCTTTCTTTTGTTTTTTGTTTTTTGTTCTTAATAATAATTTATAGTTCACATATACCAATGGGATAAATGTTCTACTTTGTCTTATACCTTTAGATGTACAGGTGTCATGCATTCCTGATGAATTTTATTTAAGGTTAGATCTTTCATGGATATATATTTCATAGATAAGTCTATCTTTTAATGCATTTTCTTTGATGCCACAAAGATCAATCACATGGATACTAGTTTGATCAGAAAGGAATTCACCGATTCTCAGTTTTATTCATCCAGCAAACCATTGCTCTTTAATTACAGCAGCTTTGTACGCATGTAAAACATTTGCTTTTTTTTCAATTTGACAGTTTTTCTTTATTTTCACATACATCAAAACCGTCAAAACAGTACATCAGTACAAAGGGATGACCAAAAGATGTCATAGGAAAGTAGCATGAACATACAAATGATACAATTGTCACATGAAGAAAACCAGAGTTATTCAACAATTAACAAAGATTAGAGGATATATTATATTATAAAATACACACATTTTAATGTATCAAATCAAACAATCTAGGAGTGTACATCTTTTAGATGGGTAGAAAGGGTAGTGGTATCTATCTGCTCTCTATTTTTAGTCTCCTCTGCTTTAAAAATTAATAATCAGTGTATGATGTTCATTACTTTACTTTAGTGTGGCATTAATTCACACTACAGCAACTCTGCCTCAAGTAGTGCTAGTGTTGGGCAGCTAATTTATGACAAATAATTATTGTGGACAAACCCCAGTCGTTCTAGTGTGTATTCTGATGAATGTATCTGACCTACTTTTATAAAGTTCATGATCCCCTTGAACATTGCATGCTTAATAAACAAAACAGAAATAAATAACAATTAATATAATAATTGATTAATGTAGCAGATTATAACCCATGTACATGTGGGTAACTCCTCAAGGTGTTTGCCTAAGTAACAACCTTTTGAGTTGAGATGCGAGGTAGTATAGGTGAATCGAATGAGTCAAGTAAGTCGAGTGAAAGCTGATTGTAGAGGTGCAGAATATACGTACAGTGTGTGTGTGAATTTATATATATGTATATATATATATGTAACGGAGCTCCCTGTATGCCGACTGGGTACCTCCGCCAAGGACCGCTTCCTAGCTGGCACTGAGGAGCATAAGCACCGCACCGGACACCATATGTGTCATAAACCCCACGAACTGCCGCAGCTTTGTTGGGGTCTCGCCTTCCTTCACCCACCCTGGACCTAAGACAAGGCTCCAGCTTACAGTGGATGAACCTCTCCTCCTTGAGAGTGTAGCTGTGAATCTCTTACAAGAGCTAGTAGTGATATCTGCATAGCAGTTCCCTACAATAAGAGACAGAACTCGAGATTGAGGATGAAGTAAATCTGGTTTAATGGTAGCCACACTGGCCTTTTATGCAAGTCCCCAAGCAAGGGATACGCCCACATGGACCTTGTTGGGGACAGGGACACAAAGCTTACAAGCCAATCATAACAGTAATTAAATGTACGACACTCCCATAACAGACATACAATCCCTCCCCTCTGCCTTTGAGATAATTGAGTAAAGCACTGTATGTAACTCAATTATCTCCATGCAGAAAAAACACATATTTTATAAAGTCCCATAAGCACCCCAAAACACAACAACAATAGCCCTGATCTGGGTGAACAACATATCCAAAATTCACCCGGATCTGAGCAGGGGTTCAGGAAATTCCTGGAAGTCTCTTTTTGACCGACCGCATGCATGGTTTCATGCCTGTGATGAGACCAATCTCGCCACATTGCATTGGAGAATCCTGGTTGCTCGCCTGTTGCCTTTGGATTATGGCCCCATGTTAAAAGGCTTGATTTTCCCCTGCAAAGACATGAAAGCCGGGTCATTTGGTGCTTGCCCTGTTTGAGCGGTGATACCCCAGATAGCTATGCCATGGAGCCTATTCGTATAATGAAAGACTATGGGAAAGACTTTGGCTCCATGGCAATTGAACTGTATGTGTGTGCTCTGAGTGCCATTCAGTAATAATGTGCGCTCAGATCTGAGCTATCTGGGGATATGTTGAATGTACCTGTTTTGTGCAATGGCTGCACAGTTATATGTTTTTATGTGTTTTATTGTCTTTTGCTGCCATGTGTTCAATGGAGTTTTGCCTCTGTCTTTGGAGATAATTGGATTACTTCCCAATTATCTCCAGGATAGAAGACTCTGTGGAACTGGTTTTGGGCAGAAAAGCCATGCTTCCTTTGTTCACAAAGGACTACGATCTATCTTTTGAACCACTGGACCAATTTGGATGATTTTGACATATGTTTGTATTTGGAGTATGCTGATTCTGAAAATGTGAATGTGATGCATACTTTTCAAGTTATGAATAATGTGGAAAAATTGTATTTCTCTGCTTGTTATAATTACATTACCCATTGTGTAAGGAAATTGTATCACAGGCAGAGGGGAGGATTTTGTGTGGGAGTGTCTGAGTGTATTGTATGTGCTTATTGGTTGTGTTCCAAAAGCCTGTGGGTGGTACTAATGTGTAAGAATGTGTACATAAGCACAATAAACCCACAGCTCTGACTGTTCACTGCTTGACCCTCAACACGGAGCTTTGTCTCGTTCTTGGGGGGATTTATTGAATGCTGTTCCAGTTTGACTGCTAGGAGTGTAAACCTATTTGTATGGTTTTTCCTATTCGGCTGTTTACGGCATTCATATGGTTTCCTGTTCAGCGGATTGGTGTTCTGCAGTAGCTGTGCCTGTGTCTCTGGAAGGGAAGATCTACTAAATGGCGGTTTAACCCTTTTATGCCTGGGGGTGTCGTTACAATGCCCAAAACAGTTCCAGAGAATCAGGGCTTGTTGCCGGTCTAGTTCGGTAGTTTGCATCTAGACTAATGATCTCAATGAACAGTGCCCTTCTAAGCTGAATAGAAATTAAAACAGGTGATGATGGAAGTCCAGCGGTGTTCAGGAGTTTCTGTATCCGATTTCAGTTCCATGAGATTCATGCCCAAACACCTCTGCCTGCGTTCATGCGAACAAGATGGCCGCCACTTCTTGGTTGTTCATAGGAATCGCGGTCACCCAGATGAACAATTAGAACACTGCGGTGAGAAACGTTCCAAGTTGTTATTAGGTGTTAACAAACTCCAGGGTGGTCTCTGTTCATGCGGTGGTTCGGCAAACGAACCATATAGGCCCAATTGCATGAACAGAGCCTGTTTGTAGTATATTAGCCAGTTCTATTGCAGGGGCCATAGTCACAGGGTAAAAGGCTGGCAAGTAGTCCCCTCCAAAAACCAGTGACAAGTTCACTTTCGCCAATATATATATATATATATATAATCCACGATCCTGCACTCACATTTGTAGTATAAGTGCCACAGTGCTCCTTCAGCCAAATCAAAATAAATGTCCACGAAGAAAGGCACACGCTGGGCTTTTTGAAGAAAATTATTTGTCTTTATTCATAGCACACGGGTTTCTGATGAAAGTCCTATGATGGACTGAAACATTGATTTGCTGTGTTATGAATAAAGACGAATAATTTTCTTCATAAAGCCCAGCGTGTGCCTTTCTTTGTGGAGATTTATTTATATATATATATATATATATATATATATATATATATATAGTGGTGAAAGTGACTACGCCACTGGTTACATATATAAAATTTATTTTATTTTTATATAAAAACATATTGCTTATTCCTCTGCCTCTGTTTCCTATTCAAATTTAGATGTTATCAGTAGACATGAAGTGTTAAGAATAAGCTTAGGATCTTCCCATACTGACCTAGCAGTTTTTCAAGATCTTTCCAGCTGTTTATGTTTTTTCTCTAATCTAATTTTTGAACTTGCCATAAGTTCATAGTCCCAATTAGTAGTTATCTGTTTTAGTAGCGCTTCTCTTAAAGATGCTTCAGGTGTTTCCCACTGTCTAGCTGTTAGTGTATTGACTGCTATCAGTATGTAAAACAAATGTTTGCGTTCTATTTTTGTCAGTGTCTCTTGTTCCATTAAGAGCAAGCTCATTTTGGCAGTTAGTTTCTTTCTTATTGCCACCCACTGGTAATACCACGTTATAATATAGTTTCACACTTGGAAGGCTTAGTCCTCCATGGGAAACAGGTTTTTGAAGAATTTTAGTGATGACTCTAGCTCTCTTTCCTGCCCATACAAATCTCATGATGGTTTTCTTTGTAGTTTAATGAGAAATTGTTTAGGGAGAGGGATTTGTAAAGTGCACAGCAAATATTGAAACTAATGCAGAAGTGTATTTTAAAAGCTGCTATTCTGCTATGCCAAGATGGATATCCGCCTTCACAGAGTTGGAATGGCTGCAAAAACTCTTGTATTCGTTTTTCATAATTCTGTTAAAATAGGTTGTGTTCAGTTTTGGTGACATGTATTCCTAAAAAAGGATATAATTATTTATCCAATCAAAGTAGAAAGATGACTTCAGGGAGTCTATGGTAGTGTTATCAATAACTACAGTTGTAATCAATATTATTT